GGATTCAGCGACCGGTCGTCCAAAACGATTCCAGCGGCGCCTCTTCGCTCATGTTGCTCCTCTTGCCAGCCGGCAAGCGGGACGAAACAGGTACCTCCGATCATGAATTTGTCCACCGACATCCCCGGCGGTACGTTGCCAGACACCCTGTATGAAAAGACCAGAAGAATAATCGGAGCTTAATCGGAGAATGGCGTGAAATTTGTCGAAGAGTCTCGGCGGCTTAAGCGCACACGGAGGAAAAACGGTTTTCTCGGCTCGTTAATCATCGTCGGCGCGAACGAAGTCGTGATTAATGACGCAACTTGGTAATTAACTCTGACGGGACGATGTCGCACGAGCCGATCGAGGCACGGCCGAGGGAAATCGTAGGGATCGATCGCGACGCGCGCGTCGATTCGTCGCATTTATTATTTCTTAAGTCGTTAACGATTTTTTTTTATTTACTTTACTTTTTTTCTTTTTTCGCCGAAGAGCGAACGTTACGTCGTCGTGACACGCTCGCCCGCTCGCTCGCATTTCGCCGGTTCTGTTTGTTGGCCGTGCGATTCTAGCGGCGGGCACGTTCGTCTGGTGCACTGTGTGCAACCGGACGAGCGACAACGAGCCTCCCCGGAACGCACGTGCACGTGCGGTGCGTTTACATTCGCCGTTCGCGTCGTGTACGAAACCGTCGCCGCCATCGCCTGGGAATCATCGATGTTTCCCATACCCAGCGTTCTCCGTTCCCACCGTAAAACCGATGTGAAACCAGGCGGTTCCCAAAGCGCATCCGTGAGAGAAAGAGAGGCTCGTTCCAAATTCGGCTTCTTCGATATCCGTTCGAGACGATTAACCACAGCCTCGACCGCGTCATCCTGCTTCTCTGGGAAAAAGAAAGACAGAGGAAAAGGGAGATAGAGAAATAAATAAAGAGAGAGAGAGAGAGAGAGAGAGATGATAGATAAAGAAAGAAAGAACGACGAAAATTGCGCACCGAACGTCATTGCGCGAACAGATAAGAGTGCGAAGATTAGGGACTTCAGCATTCTTATCTCCTGATCCACTTTAGACGGATATGCCACTTGTCTAAGCATGACACCTTAACCCACTTTCGGAATCGGCACCTCCAAGTGTACCATACTTCCCTGTCGGTTTACTTATTAATTTGGATTATGTCACGAAGGAGCTAATTGCCTCTAAGTCCGCAGTGCCGTACCTGAACTTCGTATACACGTCGAATTGGAGTTTGCTCTCGTAATTCCACGACGTGTCCCACCATGTTACGCGATCTTTCGGGTCGTGATTGCAAATCTGAAGAACTCTGAATTTCGAAGTTCAAAAGACGCTACATCTGAATTACTCCAGGTAGATCGGAATATTCGCGAATCCACGCTGGTTCACACCGGGCAAATAAGTGAATCGGTATTTAGCTATTTATTCATTTGTTCGTTCGTTTATTTTTATGTTTTGTATTTGTTATTTTATCGATTCTCATTCCTGCCCCTTCGCACGCTATTTGATTTCTTAGTGTGATTAAGGGGACATTCTTTCCGCATTAATAAATAATTACTATATTGCTAAATCTTTATGTACTCTAGCGTATTCTGAAATGAAAATTTCTCTCTTTTTTTCTCTCTCTCTCTCTCTCCCTTTTTCTCTGTCAGAATTTTTCCACGGATTATCTAGATCAGCTGGAAAGTACTTTAACACAGAGACCAAAGTAGACTTCGATATCCGGCACGAGATGCTGCGAAGACGCTGGACCCGCGCGCGCGTCTCGATTTGGCCCGGCCGCTATTCGACCGGTGCCAGCCGGGTACACGTGACCACACCCGGCGCGCTCATGCTCTCCTAGTAAAGTGATACAGTTTATTGGACTTCTTCAGATCGGAATACGGCGTCAATGACATCCTTATCTCGATACGAGGAGGAGCCCTAGACGAGCGGCTAATTCGGGATGCACGTGTCACATTCGCGTCGTGTTTCCGCGCGCGATTCCACTCCCTTCCGCCTCCCACACTCCAGGAAGAGAAAGATAAAGAGAGAGAGAGAGGGAGAGAGAACTCTCAAGGCGACAGTATACCAGCTGTATTTTTATGCCGCGCTGGTGGACTGACTATGCCCGATCAGCAAGTGTCAAGTGTTTACGTACGTGTCGCTCCCATTGTCAACGGAGACAGAGAGGAAGCCAGATTGCGCATACGTGCATACCACACTGTGTATGCATGTAGTCCGTTATACACAGATCCCTCTCGAATGGTGTCGCGAGATTTGCCGGTCTATTCCATTGTTGCGAACGCTGGTGAATGTACCTACGTAAACACGTGTCCGCATATTTTCCATTTTTTGTCCGAGATAGTCATCAAGTCCTGATGCGAATATGTTAGCTCGCATTTCGATATTAGAACATTATCTGCGTTAACCCATTAGCGGTTCATTTCTATGAATGTTTTTTTATTAAATAAAAAAATCACTCGATTAAAATATATATTATATAGTGGTATTTTTCTTTTCTATCGTATATATAATTTACAGTTATATCTTAGCTATAAATACACAATAGTAAATTTTGTTTTAAGTTTAACACGTTTCACACGCCCCAAATGGTCCACGCAAGTTTTTGTATTAATTTAACATAAGATGAATATGTTCAAGAGGAAAACAGATGTTATATAAAAAATGTACACAAAATTAACATCCATAATCGTGCTAATCGTTATGCAATAGACAATATTGAGATAACATGAACACAGTATGTTAAATTAACACACATGGTGTGTTAAAAACTTAACATAAAAATTTTAACAAGGACCAATTTTAACATAATGTTTTTTATTGTGTATTTCTAACACTTATCTGAAACCTGCAGGAAATAAACAGATTGATGCTTTCATTAGGAACGTTTGTGAAATAATTATAGCCTCTAATGGGTTACGGACTTCGTCCCTTATATGTGAAATTTCACAGAGGCACGTGACTATTGAATCGGACTATAAATTTCGGTTCTCTCGAGTTTCTCTCAGCTATCATAGGGAAGATAGAAAGGAAAACGCTAGAGAGAATCAGCACCGAGCAGCGATACCGTTAATACACGCGATAGATTTACACGGTAACATTAATCCCATTTAGTAATAATCGTAATTAGTAAGCTCTTGCATTTAATTGAAGTATATTTTTAAATCTAAAAAAATATATTAATCGGATGCGAGAGTTCACTACGGTTGTTACTTACACATATATATACATACAGTTTGGCGAATTGAAAGTTGCAACACTTTTAGAAGAATTTGTTCTTAACAATGAGATAGAATTATAGTTATTTCCGCTGCCAACAATATCCTTTTGTTATTTAACCACAAAAGTAGTCAAGAGAACTATTTTTTTTCTAGTAAGTGTTACTATAATGTCAGCGATAATAACTTTACATGTATGTTACCACTATTATTTTTGTAGTTAAAATAAAAGGATATTGCCGGAAAATAATTATAATTTTCTCCGAGTAGTAATAATTCTCGGGAGATACAGTGGGCGTAATAAAAGTTGCAGCCCCTTTTTCGCGATGATCTTCTCAACGCTTTCGATATCCAATAGGAGAATTTGTTTTTCTAGTACTTCCCAAGAAATATATTTCCTGTTAGATGCGAAGTGCGCTGCGAAAAAAAGAAAGTATTGCAACTTTGATCATGCCGACTGTACATTTTCTTATTGGAGATGAGACGCGTCGCAAAACTCATCGAAAATAAAGTGTCGCAACCTTCGATCTGCCGACTGTATGTGTGTGTGTATGATGTGTGTATGATGTGTGCACATACCCACGCTGATAACTCATCTAGCCGCGACTAGCGGGCAGATGCTGCCTAAAACGATCGGCCGCCCTTCTATTTCCTCATGTCAGCCTGGTAGAGAGCTGCTAGTAACGTCCGTTTTTTCTCGGGCGAGCCGAAAATTATTGATCCGGCGCGATGGTAGCGTCAGGGGAGGCCCGCGGAGCGAGCCGACTTCGTGCCACGTGTTGCTTCCCTAGTACGAGATGATATTTAACTCGCCCATGGCGGATCGCACGCACGCACGCACGACATACGCACGCACGCACGGTTATATCGATCATGATCGCCTAATACGACAATGGTCACATTATCGATCCACGTCGATCGTGATCGACAATCGCGAGTGACGATTCTTCGCTGCGCTATACCGCCGAAAGGTAGACTCCGCTCGTTCGCGTTTCACGCACGCGTTTCGCCTCACTCGCACGAGGTGGAAGATAGAAAAAAGAAGAGGAAGGAAGAAATTCCTTCTCGAGATCTCGATTCTGAAAAAATGCGTTTCGATATCCACACTGAGAAAAAGATTCCTTCAAATTCAATCAATTTTATCGCATCCAAACAAATTTCATCATTGGTATGCTCCAAAGAAACTAATGTTTCGCTTAATAACTACGATTGTCAGGCTTTTCAATGAATATGCATCTTTATCTTAAGTAAAAAATTGAAACGAGAGATAATTTTCTTATTAAAAAGTTACTTGTTTCATTTTACGTATTTATTTCAACCAAATGATTGAATTTTATCTGGTTAAGAGATATTATTTCGAATAATATCTTCGGTAAAATAATCGAGTTTTCTTGAATGAGACGATAAGATTTTTACTCCAATAATATTTCGCACAAGTATATGTTGTTTCTGTGAGATAAATTTTAGCCAAATAAATAGAAATACTAAATCTAAAGAAATCTTTTTCTCCGTGCACGCGTCGCCCGTAGGTCTAATCCGATCGTTTATTGCCTCGTCGCACGACGAAGGGCGACGCCAGACCCTAAACCCTTTCGCGGGTTTCATGCTCGCCTGCTACGAAAACCAACCGAATTTAGACCTCGCGCAGGGAAAGGGCTCACGGCCGCGTTCGCCGAGGTACGCGCTCACGGTACCTTCGCACGCTGCGGTCATTCATATTTCTCTGTGTGAAAGTCGATTCCGGGGAGTATATGAGTGTGTGTGTCTGTGTTTGCTTCTCGACAGGTCACCAACTGACGGTGTTCAATAGCCAGTCCACCATACAAGTGGGCGGCCGGTGGAACCGCAGCAGGAACAAAGTGGAACGACCTTTCTTGGGCGTGATAGCCGGCCTGGTGGTCAACGGCGCCCGGATCCTGGAGCTGGCGGCCGGCAAAGATACCCGAGTTATGACCAGAGGGGACGTCCAACTCCTGCCGGTCGGAAGCCTTCTGGATCGCGCCCCGCCGTTGCAGAGGATGCAACAGGTGAGCCCGCCGTAGAGTCGAATCGGTGCCGCGGCGTGACGAACAATCCAAAGGGGAATCATTTTATTTCGTTAATTTCGTAAATTCGTAAATTTTTCATCAATTGTCAGTTAGCTGACAATTAATGGGATTAATCTTCCGAATTAAAACACGGCGCAATAAACGCGACCAACTCCTCATTACGCGAATCGCAATTGCTGTTCGCCCGTATTTCGGACCGATGTTATCGCCTCTGAAAATGTAAGCTGACTTTGAAATTGCGAAATCAATACAGTTGAGATTTTGCCGATGGACGGTGTTTAGGATTTTAATTATAAAATATGACAAGGGGTGCATTTTTGGAATATTTCTTATTAAAGATGATAAACCAGGAACATTCAGATTTTAGAGCCTTTCATTCTTATTGATTATTTACTATTAAAGCCCTCGTAATATCTTTCTTTGTTAAATAAAAATAAATCGTCTACAGACAATACGTATACATTGAACACAAAACAGGTAGAAGGATTTCTTAGTACGTATTGCTTTAAAAATTACAACACCGTTATATACTTCAGTAACTATTGTTGCATAATGACTCAACAATATCTCTACAGCTTATATGACACTAATGTAAAAAGAATTGTAGTAATACGAGCGCTGATTACACAGAATGAATATTAAATGGCAATTAACAGTTAATATGAATATGTACGGCAACATTGAATCATTTCCCTCTAAATTGATCTTTTTTTTTCGTTTCATTGTGTATCAGCGATCGCATTGCTGTGGTGGTTTATCGTTAATTAATTTGCATCCGCACGTTCATTTCAGACGCCTGCGTCCGGCTTCCCTGGCGTCATGGACGACCTGATATTTTCCGGCGCCGGAAGCGGTTGCGCCGGCGACGACGAGGACGAGGAATGCACGCCGATCTACGAGTCTGGTTCCGGTAAGTGTAAGTAACAATTTTCGGGCGTAAGTAATCCGTTCTGCACGTTCTTCCCTCCGCGAGGGCATTCTTTATCTCTCAATGTGCGCGTGTTGTGGCGACGTCTCGGCGTTATCGACGATGACGACGACGAACGCCGGTCGCAATCCGTTGTAGATTCTCAGATTTCACGTGCATGAACACTCGAGTATTCTTCGGTATTTTTCTCGCGATTCCGCCGGAAAATTTCGGCAATCCGCTACCAGAAGGACATATTAATCTCCGTGACCCGTGAACGCACCCGCATAGGTTAAATTTCGTCACGTTTCCCACGTTTATTTCCATGTTTCTTAGGAGGAAATTACGTATAATTTTCTTAATATAGCACTCAAATTAGCGAATAAGGTGAATATTACCTCTCCGACTCGTGAATGTGCCGGTGTACGCGCAATTTTTTCCATTTCTCCACGTTTCCCACGCTCATTTCCAGGTTTCTCAGAAGGTAATTAAAATTTTTCTCCATAACTCTGAATGTAACAAATAAACTGAACACATGATCTCTTCGACTTGCGAACGTATCGATGTACGTACGATTTCTTCGTTTCCTCGCGTTTACCACGTTCGTTTCCACGTTTTTCAAAAAGAAATTAACTTTCTCTTATAACCAAATAAATTGAGCACATTGTCCCTTCGACTCGTGAATATACCGGCGTACGTGCAATTTCTCCATTTCTTCACGTTTCCCACCTACACTTCCGCGTTTCTTAGTAGGAAATTAAGTTTCCTATCCGGCTTTAAAAGTAACAAATAATCTGGAAGTTGTGAGTCGTGTTAGTGACTTTTCAGTTTCTTCATTTCTCTTCTGACGTTTTTCTGACCTCTTTTATTCTCAATTTACGACAAGTGTCGTATACCTCGCAACTTCCGGTTTATACACGCCCTTCTGGCTTTCCATTATCACGAGATTTCCCGGAATTCGTCTTAAACGTCGACTTCCCTGTAAGGACGTCATTAGACTCCTCGACGTTACATCACGCGAGGAAGGGCGTCGTGCGCACGCACTCGCTCACGCACGTCGGCACGCACTCAGGCACGCAAGCATACACACATATACACACACGTAAGATCGCATGGCATGCCACCTTTTCGTCTTCATGCTCGCCCGGTTCGATTCGGCTTCAATTCATTTACATATTTAGGATCGCCGTGCCGCTCCGGCTGGAGATAAGCCCCGTCGTAAGCCCCTCCTTTCTCCTTCCGGCGAACCTCCTGCGGCGGGCTGAGGCCCCGTTCCAAAATCTTCTCCGACTGACTAAAAACTGAATTAATATCGTCACCTTAATGAGAGTCGATGACCGAGGATGACGCTCGGTCGCTTTTTACTGCTCGGCGCGGCGCGCGGCTGGTCGACTTGATAGCTCGTCGAACGTCTCGGCAACAATCGCTGCCAATGACAGCTGTTTTTCAAACCTGTCAAACGATTTTCTTGATTGCCCCGACAAATCCTGTCATATTTATCCCCCGAGATCTATATAAAGGCCAAGAGCTGTATCGGAAGTCTGAAGAGTTTTCCAACTGCCCGAGTGCCTTTCCGAATCGATGGTATTTAAGAACGTATTTTCTCACTCCGAAATATCCAGGTCAGGGCACGAGTCGCTTTTTCCTGTCGCCCAACAACTCGTATGCATAAAAGCGAAATAGAATTTAAGAAAAGAACCCGCAGCTGGCGTGTCAGATAAGAGAGCGCGTTATTTGGACGAAAACACGATTTAATCCTATCGATTGGACGCTTTATTATCCGCCGGCGATATAGCAATCAGGATGATTACCGCATCGTTCTCTGCGCCCACGCATACTCCGCGTGCGTGACCTCGTGCGTTCATCGCGATCTCGATAATTACGTCCGTTTTATTTCCAGACGACATCATCACGCCCGTGTACGTGGCGCCCACGCGATTACCGACGACGCTGAGGCCGAAATCGCGCAAGGGGAACATCCAGGAGCGTCCGTCCTGCGACGACGAGGAGGACTGCGAGGAGGGCTCCGGCGATCCCGGCACGACCGAGGAGATCTTCGTCACCTCAGCCACCGGTCCGTGTCCTGAAATATCGATTCCACTGTCGTCTGCGACCAATCTGCAGAGAGCTTATGAGTTCACACGAATAATCTTCATCTTTTCATACGTACACACGCAGTCAGTGGAGAAGAGGTTGCGACATTTTTGAGAAAAGTCGTATCTCTTCATAATTCTTTGAAGAGAAATTTTCCTATTGGATATCGGAAGCGTCCTGAAATTCACCGGGACGAAAGTGTCGCAAGTTTCCTCCCGCTGACTGTGCAATAAGCGATATAATAGTCTTAACGCGTGTGAATTAAACCCTTCTAAAGCGTGCAATGTATAATGTATTTCTTAAGAGATGCTCTAAAAGGGTATATCTTCATGTGTGAAGACTATTATGCCAGACTGTGGCCAGACGAGACAATTGAGAGAGAAACCGAGCTCTTCGCGAAACCCTCAGAGATTTACGTGACCACCTCCACTCGCGAACTAAATATTAAATGCGACGAGGCAGAAACCGTGTGCCGCTTAAGATATAAATGTTAATTTGCGAATAACAGATGCGATTGGAAGCAGATTCGAGAACATTGTACTCGCCGTTAATTTACGGTCTTCAATTATTGAATGCGCGGATCGAAGTTGAGCGTCACGCAAATTTGTGAGAATCCCCGATTCACCGCTGCTACCCTCTCGGTGCTCGTCCCTTTCTCAACCGGCTCACCCTCTACGTCGGATCCCATCTACCCCGCTGAACAAATTAAAGAAAAGTGGGCCGCTTAGCCTAAACGGTTTAGCCGAATAATCGAAGACAACGAGGCCGGTCGGCTCGTTACGAATGAGCCGATCGATCCTGGCGCCGTCGCTCAGCTTTAAATATGAAGAACCCCCCGCCGTTACGGAAATACTCGCAACGTGGGCGTCCTCCTCGGCGACTTTCCGTGACGCGCGCACCGCCAATCGTCGGCTAAGTCTCCCGCCGTGAAAATAGCACCACCTTGTCGCCGGGGGCGAGATTCTCGCCAGTAGCGACTCTCACCCCAACGTAGCATCGTCAAGCGGGGTAGCGCGTTTCTAATTCCGAACGAAAGCGCGCGCGAGTTCCAGGAATCGACATCTCGAAATAACGCGAGTGACGCCAAGTTGATCGTGCTCAATCCATCGTTGTTTCACGCGCGATATTTTCGCGTACGTATTCGTGTAATCGAAGTCGCTGACAGAGAATTGTAAATGTTACTCTGTTGATGTGCGATATTGATTTTTTCGAAATTTCCGCGACAGGAAAGCTGTTTCTTAATTTATCCCATTATGGGATGAATTCGTGAAAGCGTCGTGTCGGCCGTTGCTTATATCTCGATTTTCTCTCTTTTCCTTTCCTTTTTTTGTGATTTCATATCCGAGCTGAAAAGATAAACGTGTCTCGTTATTACTTCCTAGCCACCCCATTGCGAACGACGTACGGCCCTGGTACCCTCGAAAACATTCCCGATGCCCCCGAAACGACGTCCCTGCTTACGCACGCGTGAATATTGCCGGCCCACGCACGCGTAAATATTGCCGCCTCCACGCTCCCGTAAACCCCCCTCGCTCGTCCCGTCTCCCTCCTCCACCTCCTCCACCACCAGCCCGCCCGAGCCACCCCCTCTGCGAATCGTGCGGTAGAACGGAGCGAGACTACCCTCTCATGCGCTTTTTTTCTCTGTTCCGTTGCAGACATCAGCTCGACGTACACGACGTCTCGCGAGTACACGACCAGCCACATCAGCACGCAGACCTCGTCGACGTCGTCGACAACGTTGAGCCGTGACGTCGTCACCGTCTCCGTCCAGTACAATGTGTCAACCACAGATCTCGAGACCAGCCACGGCAGGTGCGTGCGTCTGTCGGCGATGACGGTCGCGAAATTGATCGCGACGGATAATTATACGCAATCGCTCACGCACATTGATTAGCCGGTAGCGGCGGGGGGGGGGGNTGTGTGTCGACGGGAGAAATATATACATATACTTCGCAACGTGCGCGAAATACCTCACGTATCTATTATATATCTATATGTCTGTTTATATTTTCTCTACATTTTTTATATACTTTTTATATTCTACATCTATGTTTATGCACACGTATATATGGTGTGATTTATTTTAATATTTACTATTTATTACTTAGTGAACATTAACGGTAATATCAATATTATAAATTCCCGGTCAACCATGTAAATGCAATATAACATGTGTGTTATGTAACAGTTGCTGTTGCTTACTGGAAATGTCATAATTTCCCATTCAATAATAATAACAATAACTGTTATATAACACGTGTGTTATATTGCATTTACATCGTTGAATAGGAAGAAATTATAACATCGATGTCACTGTTAGATATTCACTGGGTATTTACATTCTATATTCATTAACTAATTACATTCTACATTCTATAACGATATTTATAATATACAGGGTGAGACAACAGCTATTATCACCTTGAATATCTTCGAAAATGGAAATATTTGTATTAACGACTAGATGAAAGGAGATGAAGAAAAAGCTTACATTTATTTAGAAAGGTTCTCAAGTGACGATGCATTTTCAAACACATATGTCTAAAACACGTCTTAATATTATCCGGATTGCTCGGTGCAATTATCGATAGATAAATTTCTCCTCCACTCTTATATCTCGCAAAAATTCAAGGTGGCGACAGTCATTGTCTCATCCCGTACACATGATATATATATATTTCTCTTGGCCGCGCTCACGATGTGAGCCGCGGAAGCGTGCGTCATCTGATAGCTCCGCAATCGGCCGGAAGAATCTCGGGCCGCGCGAGCGTTCTCGCTCGCCGAGATAGTCTGCGTTGTTGAAAAAAAGGAAAAAATCGATTCTGACCGATCGTTTATTCTATTCTGCTCGTGGCTTGCAGCAGCAGCGTCGTGACGCACCGATCCACCACCGTGACCAGCCCGAGCACCACGACGACGGAGATGACGGAGCCACCGCCGCCGCCACCGCCGCCGATGTACCCGCCGCTGCCCACCCCGCCCAAGAACAACAACAACAAGCGAATAACATCCGAGGCGGCGGAGAACGCCGCCCTGATAATCGGTATCATCGCGGCCGCGCTGATCGCGATCGTGCTCATCATACTGATAATCCTCAAGTTCAAGAACCGGCCGGAGAGCAACTACAAGGTCGACGAGACCAAGACGTTCTGCCAAGACCCGAACGCGGCCCTGCTGGGCGCCGCCGGCTCCGGCCAGGCGTTCAACGGCGCCCTGAAGAACGGCGCCAACGGCAGCAAGAGCAACAAGAAGCGAGAACTGATAGACATTAAAGAGTGGTACGTGTAAGGGAGCGGAATCCGCGCGCCGTCGCTCCGGACGCTCGGTGCTGCTCGCATCTCTCGTCGCCTTTCGTCTTTTCCCGTTGGAAAGGCCGCGGGGATCGAGAGGATCCGATTTGCGGGAGAACGCGTGCAAACGGCGTGCTCGCCGGCGGGGCTCCTCGCGACCGACCAGCGTGCAGGGCCGCCTCCTTGTGCTGGGCGCCGCGTGTCAGGCTAGTCTTACCGGTCCCGACGTGCAGATCCGAGGATCCGTCTCGGAGGGAGCTGATCGGACGAGAGAAAGAGGAAGAGAGAGAGAGTTCTCGAGTCGTTCGCCGCGACGTGGTGGACAGTTCTCACGGTCGCCTCGCGAAATCCACGGTGAAGTATGAAATGAGTGTACAGGTCCGTGCGGTCCTCCTCGAAGAGGCTCCCTCGGCCGGAGGGAAGCGAGGTCCTCGGCGATGATCGCTCGTGGGAGGACGGGAGGTCGCGAGAATTAAGAATCCTTATCGTGTCCCTTTGCAATGTTCCTGAGAAGAATTCGCGACGCGCGAGAGACCAGGTCTCTCGTCCTCGACAGGATCACTTTCCTAAGGACTCGCCTTGAAGTCGTGATCGGTGGATCGTGCGAGCTGAGGAAAGGACGTGCTCGTCCTTCCGAGAGGAGGACTGTGGCGAGGTCGGAGCCACGTTGGCTCCGATCGGGACACCTGAGAGAGACTCCTCGCTGACTCCGAGCGCGCGGAGCCGGGGACGTCGCTTGCTGGGTCGGTCGCGCTTAATAATTCCATACAATTGATAATTACAGTGTAATGAAAATAATTGTAATTCATGATCGGGAGTGGAGAGAGGAAAGCGAGAGACGAGACGCTGAGCGCGTGAAGCGGCTTCGATCTCGGGAACGATTTCGAGGAACGGAGGGGAGAAGCGAGAGGGGTGGTTTTAGGGGATACAATTAACGGAGGAGAGACGCCGAGAGTGATATTGAGCGCGCCGCGGCTGATTCGCGCGACGTGAGAAACGAGAGTCTTAGGAATCAACTCGCACCGATGGGACGGGCCGTTTTGTTGCTTCGCGGACTTTACTTCCAACATTCTCGCCGCGAGCGGCCTCTCGAGCAGGAATTTCGGGATGTGGCGCGCGCGGGTGTCTCGCATCATCATTGTTTATCGCTGTGAGATTTTACGAACGTTACGGAGCCTTTCCGGTTTGAGATTGTTGGATCTCCGGGGGGAGGGGGAGGGGAGTGTTTTGCTTTAATTAATTCGAGTTAGTTTATCGCGCGTAGCGTCGATATCGAGCGTGCGAAGTCGAGTTTCATACAAAGCACGGAGACACACGTACGTACACACACACACACACGCACACACACATACACACGCACACAAAGCGACGTTCCGCAATTCCGCCACCGCTGCGGGAACGCTGTTTCGCCTAAAAGCCGAGCGCTCTTCGCGCGCGATTCGTCACGATCGATTCGATTGTAGATATTAGTAAATTAGACGATAAGCCGCGGAACGTGATATCCCCGTCGTGGTCGAGACGACGCAATTTCAAGCTCTCCGGGTATCGTTTCTACGCGAATGCAACGCTTCCTGGTAACGAGAATCCGAGTTACGTCGCATCGTCGACGCGCGAGCGAGCGAGCGAGCCTCGTGAGAGACGAGATGTTGGAAGTGAAACGAGAGCCAGGAACGAAAGTATCGCCACCGAGCGATCTTACTCTATCCTATTAACACATTCATTGTTGTATAGAAGAGCAAGAAAATAATATATATGTATATGATACACACACATATACACACATACACACACACACACACACACACACTTATCGATTATGTTATGCGTGTAAATTGTTTGACGGGTTATATAAATAGATTTTATTATATATATAAAGTCTGTTTTGTGTGTGGAAGCGAAGGATACGCGTGACACGCGTATAACAACGTCCGCGCAAAAGACTCGGGCGCGAGGACGCACCCTCGGCGGAGGAACATCGAGGTCCGCGAGTCGCGGTCGCCCCCTCGAAATTCGGGAATTCCCCCGTGGAATTCGCGCGATGAAATGACGCTTTTTCCGTTGAGCTTCACGCGCGAGATACGGGCGGCTCCTCGCTCGGCGCGCGTTCCTCGACGAGATTCCTCGGCGTTCGGCGGACGCGCGCGAGTGTCTCGCGCGAGACCCGTACGTAAGTGACTCTTATACATATGGAAAGTAATCTGTAAGTAATCCGCGCGAGAGAGAGGAGGAAGGAGGGGGGGGGGGGGCGAAAAAAAAAGAAAGAAGCGAGACTTACTCTTAACGAAATAGGTGATTCATAGCGTATGCGCGAAATATGCTTACGCGTAAAATACAGGGTGCGAATGCAGTATTGTCAGTGCGAGTTGGACGACGAGTTCGGCGAGCTCGTTCAACGATGACGCCGAGCGCACTATTCCGCTCGCGAGTGCACCGAGCCGTTTCTACCAAGTTGCATTGAGTCTCCTCCCGATCGAGATCCACGATACGCTCGTTGTTATGCGGAGAACGGCCCGGATCGCGTTCGCGTTCTGTGTGTTCAGTTTCACACGTTGTTACTTCGGTTAATGTCGGTATTAACGTGGTTAATCGCCGGCGCGTCCGGCGAGATAGATCGCAACGAGAAGGCCGATTCGACCGGGGGGGGGGNTCAAGGCCGAGGAGGAACGTCACGTCGGGATGTTCCAAGTTCCACAATGAAGTTCTTCATTATCGCCGAATCGCGTCTCGGTATTCTTATAAGTTATACAAATCAGCAGTATCATGCGATACCGTTGGTGTATTAACGAGACGTCCCTAAGCGAAATATCGGGCGATTTCCTTTGAGTTGTTACCGGATGGCTGTTTAAATTAGGAAAATTATTAGAGAAATTCAAGGGAGAAGGGGAGAAACTGGGAAACATTGTCCGGTTATCCGGTCGTTGCGGCCGGCGATTAACGCGATTAATAAGTAATAAAGAGTCGCGCGACGGGGAAGCGTCGCACGGCTCGCTAATGTCGCAGACGAAGAAGCGGCGGAGAAGACTCGTCGCGGAAAAAAGAAGCAATAAGTGACGAAAGGGGGCTTAGCGTTTAAGCTGATCTGTCTGTGAAGCGCGGGGCGATACGTTCGGTTGCTGAAGCGTCGGTCCGCCCGACTCTCGAGCGGACTCGCGAACGATTCGTCGCGTCGGCTCCTCCTCCAGCTTGCGATTTTTACTACGCGCGTTTCCCCCGTCGCGGCGAGCGTGAGAAAGCGCGGCCGGAAGGAACGGACCCGAGGCGGACGAACGAGAAAGGGGGAGGAGAGTGTGTGCAAATTCGTCGTTGAAACGCGCCAGGGATGAGTAAAATACCGCGGGGCGCCCCCGCGGGAGAGCGCGACGAGAACGCATCCCTCGAATGTCAATGTTAATTTACGCACGAACGAGCGCGAACGAGCGCGCGGGTTCGTCCATTTCCGCGGTGTCGCGAACGTTTATCAATACATATCCGAGGCACGGTTGATTACCGAGGCGGATCGAACGGGAAGAAGAAGAAAAGAACGTGCCGCGATTGAAATAATCATCGTAAATTTCGCGTTTCCGAAGTGGAAGGGAAGAGAAAAAAAGAGGATCGTCAATACGACATTCGAGCAATTGTTAGCGATTGGTAGAAGGGGAAGTAGGGAATCTTTCCGGCGGCAAAACCCTGCGTTTCCTTTGTACAAACCTTCGCCAGGGGAGGCCTCCGTCGCTCTCGTACGCTGAGAGAGGACGTATCTAAGAAATAAATAATACTTGTTCGCTAAATACTGATAACATATTTACTTATACCAATACACACCTTTTTACACCGGGGAGACAATTGGTTTCAGGCGGGGAGAATCGGCACTTTCTTAAATCTGTAGCTTAGCAATCGTTCGTTATATTTAAATGCAAGAATCCGGAGAGATCCAAGTAAATATGTTGTCATTGCCACCGAAAATATTTCTCATTCCTTAGATTCCTCTTCTCTCGACGCACGACGGATATCTTCGACATTTTGTATCTCAAAGGGATTCGGCGTAGTCGCGCGAGTTAGACCGATAGATGATGCGTCTCGGAACGACGGAGAATATTGCGGGCTTCCCCTGGCATTAGCGAGTGGCTGCAGCGAGTACTTTGCCCATCGCTGGTCGAGGCTGCCTCTCGGCGATCAATCGAAGGCGAGGAAAAAACGTCCGATTGTTATAGAAACTGCTCTCTCGAATATTTTGTAAGTTCCGCGATCTCCTCCTTCTCTTCAGTAGTCGCACTTGCTCTCTCTCTCTTCTACGTGTGGAATTGTCCTCTTCTTTATTACAGTCGCCACACTGCTCCACGAGATCTCGGGATCGGTTGCTAGTATCGATAGTTTCTCTCTCTCTCTCTCTCTCTCTCTCTCTCTACACTTCTCTCTTTCTCTTTCTATCCTTTTAACTCACTAGCTCTTTATCTCTCTGTCTATCTCTCTGACAGATAAAGACGTCTCTCTCTCTCTCTCTCTGTCTATTCGTCTATCTGTACAGCGCATTCGCCGCTTCTCTCTCGCTCTTAGACACGCGTTGGGAGTAAACGGAGATTTTATTAACTAATCGCAAAGTCGATACGAGCACGTATCTCGAAGTAACAATCCTCAGGGAAGCGCAGTTAACGCGATCGGTCGGCACGCACGGAGGGCTCCGTGGATCGATCGATTACTCGCTGATTATTTTTAGCAGTGACGGGTATCTGTTGACCGCGACTTTTTATCAGTTGCAAGCAGAGAAAAGCTCGGCCCCCCCCCCCCCCCC